GTGCACACACCTGTCCCACAGCATTAGACATGAAGGCAACGATAATGACAAGCAGTTTCCATGGCCTTTCCCTGTCTCTTCCTTTAGCTGCTACAAAGGAACAAACAAGCCCGGTGCCTGCCCGCCCAGGACACGCCGTGGCCTCGCCGTGCGCCCGTGGAGGTCTGTGCTGAGTGACCGGCAGACGGGAGTCGTTGCAGACGGTGTAGGTGAAGGCGAGAAATGGCCCACGGTCCCGAGGGAAGCTCTCGCCTGGGCATCTGAAAACCGGTTCCAGCCGAGCTTGTGGCCTGGACGGGCCTCTGAGACTGTCCCTGCCCCCACCGAACGGCTTGCTAACCGGAGGGGACGCTCCGGGCAGAGGAGAGCGCCTCGGAGGCCTCCCAGGCCCCAGCTCAGGCGGAGGACGTGAGCGCGCAGACGGCGGCCGTCCGGGGGCACCCACAGGCCGGGGACGCGCTGCCCCCGAGTCTGGCACCACCAGTGACTGTTCGCAGACACCTTCCTGCCGCGATGGGAAGCTTCCAGCGAAGGCTTAACGATAAACATTTTCACACTATTTACTGCAACAGCGATCTCAAAGCATCTCCGGACTCACTCCCCAAAGCCACTGCAGCAGGACCTCCCTCGGGGGAGGAGGACGTGCAGGAAGCGACTGAACTTTAGCTGGTGTGTCCCGGTGCTGGCGGCCGCCCCGTGCGCTCCCTGAACATCGGCAGCCTGGTCCCGGCCCTCGCTGGGTTTAGTGAGCGAGCTTTGCAGTTAACGCTGCCCCCGAGGGAGCGCCACGCTCTCCCTGGACCCGGCCACATCGCGCCCGCCGGCAGTAGGAAGGCTCCGGGCAGCCAGCCGCACCCGCAGGGCCACCCCCATCATGGGCACAGAAGTCTGGCCCGAGTAGAGACAGGCAGTGGTGGCTGCAGCGGCTGGGGCGGGGCTGGGAGGGACAGTGACTGCGCTGGGTGCGGGTTTCTCTCAGGGCTGACACACGTGCTCAGATCAGTGTGGCGATGGCTGCCACATGCTAAGCCCAGGCCTGAACAGTTTAAATGAGACGCTGTGGGACTGACACGGGGCAGTGCCGACTCGTGTGCACACAGCATGTCCAGTTCTCTTTCGTTCTCTCCCTTGACACTGATTTAAAGAAACTGCTTTAAGCCCTGGCTGGTTTGGCTCAGTGGATACAGTGTCGGCCTGCAGACTGAGAGTCCCAGGTTCAATTCCAGTCAAGGGCACATGCCTGGGTTGTGGGCTCCATCCCCAGTAGGGGGTGTGCAAGAGGCAGCTGATCAATGATTCTCTCTCATCATTGATGTTTCTGTCTCTCTGTCCCTCTCCCTTCCTCTCTGAAATCAATAAAAATATCTATAATAGTAAAAGAGAATGATGCAAACTGACCATCCCTCCGTGATGCCCACAAGCCACGCCTACCAGCCAATCAGGAGTGGGTATTCAAATAAACTTGACAAAAATGGCAGGTTAATTTGCATATGCAGGTGTCAAGCGCCCTGGGAGGTAACGGTGGCCGTGGGCTCCCGGGACCATCGCCAGCCCCGGGAGGCGAGGCTGGCTGTGCCAAGCTACACCCGCGGGCTCCCGGGACCTTCACGGGCAGAGAGCAGAGCGGGAGAGCAGGTGGAGAGCAGGAGGTTTCGAGGACTTGGCAGAGCAGGAGACCGCTGGAAATAGAGCAGGGCGAGAGAGAGGGCGGCTTGGAGGGCGCGGCTCCCTGTCACCCCAACTTCCTCATCACAGCTGTGGAAACTGACAGCAGGGAGGAGGAAGTCCCACCCCCACAGAATCAGCCAGAATCAGCCATTGGTCAGACAGCTCTCAGCGGCCTGACAGCCAGGACTCTCATTCACCTGCATCTCAGACCGTGACAGTAGAGAGATGGGACTATGTGTAAAGAACAACTGTTGATACAACGTAGCTCTGCAGCCGAAAGCTTATCGACAGAAAGTGTCTGCAGAGCAGCGTGCGCCTGCGACAGAATGTATCTGACCACCAGCTACTGGAAAAACGTCGCTCTGATGCCGAAAAACACCAGCGTCATCGACAGAAAATGTCTAAAGACCAACGTGCCTTTGAAGTTGAAAGAAGGTGGTGGTGACGACAGAATATGTCTAGAGAACAGTCATCAACAGGTACTACCAATAACGGTAGGAACTGCCTTCTCAGCGAAAATGGAGTACATGAGGATGCAATTCTCTCACATAGTTGTGGTGGAATGACTGTTAGATGCGAATTTTGCCTATCACTAAATTTCTCTGATGAAAAACCATCCGATGGGAAATTTACTCAATGTTGTAGCAAAGGGAAAGTCTGTCCAAATGATATACATTTTCCAGATTACCCGGCATATTTAAAAAGATTAATGACAAACGAAGATTCTGACAGTAAAAATGTCATGGAAAATATTTGATCCATAAATAGTTCTTTTGCTTTTGCTTCCATGGGTGCAAATATTGCATCGCCATCAGGATATGGGCCATACTGTTTTAGAATACACGGACAAGTTTATCACCGTACTGGAACTTTACACCCTTCGGGTGGTGTTTCTCGGAAGTTTGCTCAACTCTATATTTGGGATACGGCCGAAGCTACAAGTAAAAGACTAGCAATGCCAGAAAACCAGGGCTGCTCAGAAAGACTAATGATCAACACCAACAACCTCATGCATGAAATAGATGAATTAACAAAATCATACAAGATGCTACATGAGATAGAAAAGGAAGCCCAATCTGAAGCAGCAGTGAAAGGTATTGCTCCCACAGAGGTAACAATGGCGATGAAATACGATTGTAACAGTGACCCGGGTAGATATAATTCTCCCTGTGTAACCAAGGTTGCTGTCATATTCAGAAATTAGGATGGAGAACCTCCTTTTGAAAGGGACTTGCTCATTCATTGTAAACCAGATCCCAATAATCCAAATGCCACTTAAATGAAACAAGTAAATATCCTGTTTCCTACATTAGATGCAATGACATATCCTATTCTTTTTCCACATGGTGAACAAGGCTGGGGAACAGATATTGCATTAAGACGCAGAGACAACAGTATAATCAACAATAATACTAGACAAAATGTAAGGACACGAGTCACACAAATGCAGTATTATGGATTTCATCTCTCTGTGCAGGACACATTCAGTCCTATTTTAAATGCAGGAAAATTACAGTTTATCGTGGATTCATGTTCAAAAATGGAGGCCAATCGGATAAATTTCATCAAAGCAAACCAATCTAAGTTGAGAGTTGAAAAATATAGTGGTTTGATGGATTATCTCAAATCTAGATCTGAAAATGACAATGTGCCAATTGGTAAAATGATAATACTTCCATCATCTTCTGAGGGTAGTCCCAGAAATATGCAGCAGCGATATCAGGATGCTACGGCAATTGTAACGAAGTATGGCAAGCCCGATTTATTCATAACCGTGACATGCAACCCCAAGTGGGCAGATATTGCAAACAATTTACAACACTGGAAAAAAGTTGAAAACAGACCTGACTTGGTAGCCAGAATTTTTAATATTAAGCTAATGCTCTTTTAAATTATATCTGTAAATTCCATTTATTTGGCAAAGTTACAGTTAAAATTCATGTCATTGAATTTCAGAAACGCGGACTGCCTCACGCTCACATCCTCTAATTAATTCCCTTTCAATGTACGTGAATTTCGTGCACTGGTCCATATATAT